TGGGTTCCCCCACCTGGCCAGTCACCGTGTCCTCAAATCCACCCCCTGGCTACCCACACAGTTCAGGCTGCCAGCATCATCCCGATCGGGACGGTCCTCACAGCAGCCTTTGGCCTCCCCGCCCCCTTCCCCAGGGCTGCCAGGCTGACCTGCCCGCCTGACAAGGCCGGTGGGTCACCACCCAGCTCAGATACGCTGCAGCGGACGCAGTCCACCCTCCTCTGGGGAGCACTCAGGGTCGTCTGGGAACTGGCCTCGGCCTGTGTGTCTGGTCTCACCTCCGACCCCAGGTACGGACGCTGTGTGCCCACGAACCGCGTATGTCCCAGCACGTGGCCACACCACACGTGTCCACGGCTCTTTGAACCCTGTTCCTCTGCCTGGAATGCCCCCTGCCACGCTGGTCACCCCAAAACTCCTATCTCACCTTCACTGCTCAGCTTGGAGGCATCTTTCTGAGGCCAAGCCAATGCCCAGGGCAGACTAGACCGTCCTTCTCCAGGGCACGTCCAACCCTTTGTGCAGCCCCAGCCCTGCAGTGACGATAAAGGTCCCCTTCCCATCCTGGGAGCAACCTGAGGGCAGACCGATGTCTTTTTAGCTCTGGACCCCCAGCACCTGTCACGGTGGGCGCTGGGTAGTGCTCAAAGCCTATTTTAGGAAGAAAACAAGAAAAGGAGAGAGGAGGTGGGAGGAAGAGAGGCCAGGGCCGATGGTGGGTGGTCCTCACTTGGCCCCCGTCTGCCCTTTCTCCAGGCTCCAGGCCTCAACCTGTGCACCCCATGTGCATGTGGGACAAGCCTGTTCTGCATCTCCCTCCCTTTAACCAGTCTCGATGGATGTAGTTTCTTAAATTCTGTAGTTGTCAGACTTCCATTCAGCTCAATTTCTGACAGTCCCAAGTGATGGTTGTTCTCTAATATGGTTGTAATTTTGATGTGGTTGTGTGAGGAGGTGAGCTGTGTTTACCGATGCCACCATCTTGACTGGAAGTCTCCAGATTTCTTTCTTTCTTTATTTTAACATCCACATCTATATGAGTGTGTAGATGGGCAGACCCTGATTGCTCAGTTTGTAAAGGGTTCACTGAGGTGAGTTGTCATTAACTGAACAGACTTTTAAGCAATTTCTGGTGGTATATTAGTTTTCTATTACTGTAAACCCACGAATTTAGCACACTGAAAAAAGCACATTTAGGAGAATCAAGATGGCAGAGGAGTGAGTGGAAGTCACACTGACCTCCTCCTAGGACCAACCTGGAATTATAGCTAAATTGTGGAGAAACCACATGGAACAAACAACTGAACAATAGCGAGAGGGGAGCCTTGTAACTTCGGAGACAGAAGAATCGGCTTTAGCGCAATCTAACCGGTGTCATGTTGGTTTAATTGCTGAGACTTTATAAGGATTTTACATTTTAAAAAAATATTTTATAATTAACTTTGACATTTAAAAATAAATAAATAAAATCAATCTGCATTTAAGACAGAAAGAGAGAGAGAGAGATGGAACTTGTACCTTTTGTGACAACATGGATGGAACTGGAGAATATTAAGCTAAGAGAAATAAGCCAGTTGATTAAAGACAAATACCATATGATCTCACCTATAAGTGGACTCTATTCAACAAAATAAACTAATGAACAAAATAAAGCACAGGCACGGAGACATGGAGCAAACTGAAAGTGACCAGAAGAGATGGGAAAAGAGGACAATGGTGGAAAGAAGGAGAAGGGACTAGACAAAGAACATGTATGAATGACCCACGGACATGGACAGCGGAGTGGGAATTGACTGTGTGAGTGGGGGGTGGGGGTGGGATGGATGGAGGGGGGTAAAGGAGGAAAAATAGAGACAACTGTAATAGAATAAACATGATTTATAAATTAAAAAAATTAAATTACATTTAAAAAAGAAAAAAGCACATTTATTATCTTACAACTACTGTGGGTCAGGAATTCAAGTACAGCTTTTCTGGATCCTGTACTTTGGGTCTGATGACAGATGGGTTCTCAACCCAGGGCATGACAGAGGAAGGATCTGCTTCCCCACTTGCCTGGTTGTTGGTAAGTGGGTAAGTGGATAAGTGGGGAAGCATTCATTTCCTTTTGGTTATTTGACTGAGAGCTTCATTTTTTTTTTTTTTTTTTTTGGCTGACTATCAGTTGGAGGCTTAGCCTTAGTGACTAGATGGTGCTTTCAGTTCCATGCCATGTGGAGTCTCCAGCGTGGTCACTTGCTTCCTCATAGCCAGCAAAGGAGAGACTCCAGCAAGATGATCCTTACAATCTTATTTAAAGAAATCACATAATCATGTATCTCCCATCACCTATACATATATTATTGGTTAGAAGCAAGTCCGACGTTCTTCCCACATGAAGAGAAGGGGACCACACGAGGGCTTGAACACTGGGAGATGGGGATCATGGAAACCAGCGTCAGTGGACAGTGTCTACCAGTTTGCTACTTGTTACCATGACTGTAGAACAATCACGTTTTAGGGTGTGCAGCACCTGCAGTCTCCTACACCACAGTTGGGAATGTAAAACGGTAAGCAACTTTGGGAAATGGTTTGGCAGTTTCTTGAAAGGTTAAACACCTACCATATGATCCAAACTTTTCATTCCTAGATGCTACCCAAGATAAATGAAAACAACTCACATATAGACTTGTTTATAAATGTTCATAGCAGCTTTATTCGTAATAGCCCCCAATGGAAACAACCCAAATATCCATCAACAAGGGAATGGATAAACAAAATGAGAGATATATTGAAACAATGGACTATTTTTCATCATTAAAAAGAAAGAGACTAGTGATACGCACAACCATGTGAGTGACTCTCAAAATGATCATGCTGAGAGAAAGAAGCCACACACAAAGAAGTATTTCCTGTATTATTCCATTTATATAATATTCTAGAAATGCAAATTAATCTACAGAAGATCAGTCGTTGCCTGGAGAGAGGGACAGATGGACTGACTATAAAGGGGCACTTGGAAACTTGCGGGGGTGTGACAATGTTCTGTGGCTTAATAGTGGTCATGGCTCACAGGTGTTATACATCTGTCACACCCCTCAAATTGTACACTTTAAAAGACTGGAGTTATGCACATAAATTATACCTTACTAAAGTTGATTAAGAATTATATGAAAAAAATCAACAGAGACATATGAGTCTAGGCATTCAGAAGAAAAAGTAATGTTGATACTGAGTACGGGTGATTTTAAATAAAATTTATAATATGCCATTCTCACCTCTCTTATGCATTAGACACAAAGAAATAGAGCTACATGAAACATTTCAGATAATAAGTTTGCTTTTAATAGAACAAATAGGTCATTTATCACTAAAACAATTACTAGTGGTATTGAGCCCTGGCTGGGTGGCTCAGTTTGTTGGAGTCTTGATCCATACACCAAAAGGTTGTGGGTTCATTTTCCAGTCAGGGCACATACCTAGGTTGAGGTTTCAATCCCCGCTGATTGTTTGGGAAGCAACTGATTGCTGTTTCTCTCTCGTATCGATATGTCTGTCACTCTTGCTCTAAAATCAAAAAAACATATCTTCTGGTGAGAATTAAAAAAAATTACTAGTGGTGTTGAGAATTTTTTACATTTGTCAACATAAGAAACATTCAAACCTGTAGAGAATTTTTGTGAGTTTATTTGAGCCAAACTGATGATAGTTAGCAAGAAGCAAAATCTCAATGGACTGAGAAAATTCTCCTGAAAAATGGCAGTTCTGCATCCTGCTTTATACATTACAATCAGAAGAGAGGATGTAAGTGGGTAACATGAAATTCATTGGTGATAGATTAGGGAGGTGGAAGAAAGCAAAGCAGGGAAACTTCTGGGGTTGAATAAAAAGTAAAATGATAGACACTTCTTTCACATAGGTGGGTACAGGATAGTTAAGAATCAACAATTAATAACAATGAGGGGATTTGTGGTCTCCACTCTGGTGAGCTTTGAGGGGTGTGGAAAAAAGTAAGTTACTTTGACATTCCAAAAGTATGTTAGCATAGGTGCGAAAAGGCAACAGATTTAATTAAGGTAAAGATTGGCTTTTGTCAGGGAAGATTCTACCCTATAACATTAAGGCTGCTTTCAGGCCTTGCCTGAGCTTGACAGGTTTGGTATGTGGACCCTTTTTGTACATATGTTTATGGCCATTTAATTTTTTTCAAAATATTTTAAAAACATTTTTAAAGATTTTATTTATTCATTTTTAGAGAGGGAGGAAGTGAGAGAGAAAGAGAGGGAGAGATGCATCAATCCGTCACCTCTCGCTCACCCCAGCTGGGGGCCTTGCCCGCAACCCAGGCAAGTGTCCTGACTGGGAACCAAACCCGGGACTTTTCCTTTGGCAGGTTGGTCCTCCGGCCACTGAGCCACACCAGCCAGGGTGGTCATTTAATTTTTTAAAAAATTGCCTGTTTTTGAACTTTGCCAACTTTCATTTCTGGTTATTTGTCTAGTTCCTCTGTTTACAGGCCTCATCAGCCTGGGAGCTTCTTGGAGATAAACACTTCTCAGTTTTTTCTCTATCCTCAGTCCAGAACAGTTGTTTGGTATTTCCTTCCTGGAATGTTTGCTAAAATGGAACTGAATGATCCTAATTTATTCTCATAACCCTCTGGAGACTTAACCATTATTATTTTACTATTATTATTTTACAGATGAGGAACACAAGATGCAGAGGTTGAATAATTTGCAGTCACACTGATGGTACAATTGGGATTGTAATCAGGCCTTCTGATTTTAAACCACGGGTTTACTGAAATTGTCCTCCATTACCTCCAGAGATGTTTGCCTGGGACCTGTCTTCTTTAGGGTATCAACTGAGCATTATATATGAATTTAAAGTTAAACAAGATTAACCTCCGCTAGGCACAATGCATGCCTTCCTTTTCCCACGGTAGGAAAAAAAAGACAGGTCTTCTTTTCCTTCCGCTTTACGGCTCTTTTGGCCCCGGCGACTCGCCATCGCCCGTGGGGCGGCATTCACGAGCAGAGGTGATGGCGACTGGGACGCCAGATTCGCAGGCGCGATTCGGCCAGTCCGTGAAGGGGCTTCTCACGGAGAAGGTGAACACCTGCGGTACGGACGTGATCGCCCTCACTAAGCAGGTGCTGAAGGGCTCCCGGAGCTCCGAGGTGAGCTGGGAGTGCCCTGGCTGGGTCTCATAGCCCAGGAGATTGCCTTCTTTCAGAGCTGTGGGAAAGGGATCGCGTTGCACCTTGGGAATTGTAGGCGGTGAATTGAGGCGAGAGTAGAGCTCGTTCGCGGAGGGCAAGTGTTGCATTGTGGGAGGCTGAGTCCCCGGGACGACTGGCGGTACAGAGAGGAGGGAAACGAGATGAGGGGAATCTGCGCTTTCCATCCCGGGTCAGGGCACACGCAAGAAGCAGCCAGTGAATGAATGCATCAGGTGGAACAACGAATCTGCGTCAGGCTGTCTGCCTGTTTCTCCCCCCTCTCCCTTTCTGTCCCTTTCTCTCCCTTTCTCTTTGTCTCTCTTATCAATACATAAAAAAAAAAAAATTAAAAAGAGAAGGGGAGCACCTTGATAAGTATGAAAAAAAGGAAGAAAGAAAGAAAGAGAAAAGAAGAAAAGCGGCAATTGTGACAGAAGGACGGATGAGATAGTGGTCCTAGCCCAGTTCCTCATTTGCTTCTCGGAATTGTCTCTCTCCATTTTGGCCCCCAAATTCTGTATGGTTTTGCCCTCGACATCCCAGATTTCTTTCATTCTTTTGTATCTCATCTGTCCTATGGATTTATTCTTTTCTGATTTTTCTTTCTGGGCCCATTCTTGGTTTTCTGTTTCTTTTAAATTAGGTTTCTTCTTTGTCCTTATTTTCACCTCATCAGGTTGGTTTCATGTATGAAATTATTTGATGTCTTCTCATACCAGAAAGCTTTACATATTGCTTTCTCTCTCCAAATAAAACACCTATCCATCATGCTTCTAGATATTCACCCAAGTTAAGTGAAAACACATGTCCGTACAAAGACTTGTACATGTTCATAGCACCTTTATCTATAATAGCACCAAACTGGAAACAACCTACATGCCCCTTGATAGGTGAGTGGACAAACAAAATGGGTCTAATGACCATGCCATTCCATTCCTAGTTTTTTACTCAAGAGAAATGGAAAATACGCCCATCATCTTATTACATAAACCAACCACACATATTATATACCATCTAAGATTTTGAATTTTGCTTTCTTTAAAGTGGAACAGCATCTTGAGTATACCTGTAAAACAATATGACAATACTGTCTTTTTAGATTTCTATGACTTTCTCCTGTAGGCCATGTCTTTCTCATAATTAACTCAGTAATGTATCTTAGCTACTTGTCTTCAACAAGAATTTTTTATTTCCAACTGTTTTCATAGAAATAACAACTCTTTCTCTTGTTTATTCATATTACATTAGTTTCTATATTACTTCATTAAGTTACATAGTTGCAGTAGCAAGCATAATATGTCCACAAGTCTTAAGGCTTATATATGAATGTTCATAGCAGCTTTATTTATATTAGTGTAGGGTCCAATAGCACTATCTTTACAGAATGAGCTTTCATGTTATATCCTTAGCTTTTATTAATATAAGAAACAACTGTTATGAAGAAAGTGTTTGCCTTTACCATAACACTATTGTGGAAGTCACTGATCTGGTGATCCCAAATATACTTGCTGTGAGGTCCTACACAGTGTACTCATTTTAGGATTTAGTATCAGAAAAGTTATTTCTTTTGAGGAATTGTTACATTGCCTTTTGCTAAATAAGAATCATGCCGCTTGTGTTTTACTTTTTGCCTTGGTTGCACAGAAGTTCCTATGTCAGTTTTAGTGGTAGACATATTTACTGCTTTCTTTTCATTACTTGAGATTCTATTTCTGTTTTAAAAATGTGTGTGTGTATGTGTATACACATTTAGTGTGGTATAAATTGCCTTGAGGTTTTTTTTAGAGAAATATGATATAAATATATAAATTTGAAAAAGTAGATGGTGTTCATAGTTAACCACCAGTGTGTATTGAAAATCCACATTTGTCATAATAAACTTACATTAATTGAGCATCTACTATGTGCTGGATACTGCTGTGTTTTATGTAGTTTAATTTATGAAGTCTTTATAATCATTAATACAGGAGGTAGTTTTCTTACATAGAGGATACAGAGAGGAATTTAATTTATCCAAGGTCACACAGTAGCTAGGGAGGGATAGAGCTAGTATTCAAACCTAGGCGTGTTGGTTTTAGACCCACATCCTTGGACACCGCCTCTCATGTGATACTAGCTGGATTAAGTGGCCAACAAGCCACTGTGCCACTACCGACTGCCTAATGTGGCTTGTTCCTTTCTGTTCTTCCTCCTTCTGTATTTTTCACATGGGCTGATTCTGCAGGAGATATAGGTAGAGTGTTCAATAAGTGGTGTGGCTTGAGTTAATAAGTGGTGTCACAGGATTGACATACAATCTCTCAAATCTCTGAACTTTGTCTTTTTAAAAATATATTTTATTTATTTTTAGAGAGAGGAGAAGAGAGGGAGAAGCAGATGGAGATGGAGATAAATATTGATCAGTTGCCTCTTGTGCTGAACCCGCAACCCAGGCATGTGCCCTGATGGGGAATCAAATCGGCAACCTTTCTCTTTGTGGGATGATGCCCAACCAACTGAGTCATATTGGTCAGGGCTTTTTTCTGTTTTTCAAAAAGTTTTTGTTTTTCAATTACAGTCGATGTACAATATTATGCTAATTTTAGGTATACAACATAGTGTTTACACATTTATATAACTTACAAAGTAATCACCCTGGTAAATCTAGTGCCCATCTGACACAGTACGTTGTTATTGTGATAGTATTGACTATATATTCTCTAAGCTGTACTTTAAATCCCCGTGACTATTGTGTAACTACCAATTTGTACTTCTTAATCCCTTCCCCTTTTACCCACCCTCCCAATCCTCCTCCGATCTGGTAACCATCAAAACATTCTCTGTATTGCCCTGGCCAGGTAGCTCTGTTGGTTATAAAGCATCGTCCAGATATGCCAAGGTTGCAGTTCAATCCCTTGTCAGAGCACATAGCAGAATCAGTCAATGAATGCATAAATAAGTGAAACAACAAATAAATGTTTCTCTCTCTAAAATTCGATAAATTAAAAAAAAGAAACTACGAAATTGGTGGAAAAAAAAAAGGTTCTCTGTATGTATGAGTTTGCTTCTCTTTTGTTTGTTTATTTTGTTTTTTAGACTCCACATATAAGTGAAATCATATGGCATTTTTTTTCTCTGTCTGACTTATTTCATTTAGCACAATACTCTCTAGGTCCATTCATGTTGTTGCAGATGGCAGGATTTCATTCTTTTTATGGCTGAGTCATATTCCATTGTATATACACATCCCCTCTTCTTTATCTATGCATGTATTTATGGACATTTAGGTTACTTCCATATTTCCTTCTAGATATTTATCTGAAGAAGCCCAAAACACAAATTTGACAAGACATACGTATGCATATGTTCATTGCAGCATTATTTATAATGTGCCAGTCAACTTCTATATGTCTTTTGATTGGAACATTTACTCCATTTACTTTGAAAGTAATTGATTTATATGTAGTTATTGCCATTTTATTATTGATATTTTTACTATATTCATTGCAGCATTCTGTATTATAAATAATTCTGCAATGAACATATGGATGCATATGTCTTTTCAAATTAGCATTTTGGGCTTCTTCAGATAAATATCCAGAAATAGAATTGCTGGGCCCTTCTTTGTTTCTTGTTACAGCCTCTGTTTTAAAGCCTATTTTCCTTTGCTACTCCAGTTTTTGTTTTTGTTTTCAATCTCATGAAATATCTTTTTCCATCCCTTTGCTTTCAGTCTGTGTGTTTCTTTTGATCTGAAGTGAGTCTTTTATAGACACCATATTTAAGGGTCTTGTTTTCTTATCCTTTCAGCCTTCGTATGTCTTTTGATTGGTGCATTTACTCCATTTACATTTAAATTTTTCCTACTTTATTATTTTTTTTAATCCTCTCTTGAGGAATGTTTTTATTGATTTTAGAGAGAGAAAAGGGATACAGAGAGAGATTGGTGGGGGAGCAAGACATCAATCAGTTGCCTCCTGTAGGTTCCTGACAAGGTATCAAACCTGCAACTTAGGTATGTGCCCTGACCGGGAATCAAACCCTCAGCCTCTTGGTGTATGGGATGACACCCCAACCAACTGATCCTCCTGGCTAGGGCTACTCTATTTACATTTAAAGTGATTGGTAGATATGTAGTTATTGCCATTTTTCTTCTTTGCTCCTTTTTCTTAAAGAAGTCCCTTTCACATTTCTTATAATACTGCTCTGGTGGTGACAAACTCCTTCATCTTTTTATTGTTTGGGAAGTTCTTTATCTGTCCTTCAATTCTAAATGACAGCTTTGCTGGGTAGAGTAATCTTGATTGTACGTATTTGCTTTTCATCACTCTGAGTATTTGGTCCAGTCCCTTCTGGTATACAAACTTTCTGTTGAGAAATCAGCTGATGAGATCAATATTTTATTTTATTTTTATTTTTATTTTTATGTTTATTTTTTGATAGTACATTTATTAAACCTGGGGACAGTGAAGCAAGGAAGGCCTTAAGATAGGATAAACAACAGGAAAGCCTAGGCGGGGCTGCTTTGGCTCTCTAGAAATGTTGCAGGGAAAAGCAGCCTCGGCGGGGCTGCTGTGGCTCACTGGGAAGTTAGAGGAAAGGAGGCCTTGGAGACAGGTTCAGGGGTTAGCCCGGGAGGAGCTGCCCCTTGCCCACTCCTCCCCTGCCTGCAAGTCTTGTGGGGACCCTTGGAGTTAAGGAGATTCATGCCTGAGAGGGGAGAAGAGGGGGAAGGGAAAGGTGTGGGTGTCCTCCCAGGAGAGGGAGCACACATTGAACTTTGTCTTTTTACTGGGTCTCTTACACGACTTACAACAACTATAGTTGCTTACGTATTTTTCCCATTTCCTTTGGTAGACTATGAAAACCTTACTGATTTTCCATCCTTCTCAGCCCATAGATCATTGCTTCTCTCTTCAGCAGATTCCATGTAGCTATTTTGTTTGATTAACTGACATTTTCCATGTGTAAAATATTCATTCCACAGCATTCATTTAATAAATATTTATTGAGTACCTGCTGTGTGTCAGAAGAGGATGGTAAAACAAACAAACAAAAAAAAAAAAACAACAAAAGAGCTAAGTCCCTGTACTTAGGAAGCTTACATTTTGGTGAAAGACAAACAAGTGAGACATGCACAAAAAATCAAGTGGTTTTAAGTACTACGAAGAAAAATAAAGCTGGGAATAGAGAGTGACAAAAGGGTTCACCAAAATACCGAAGGCTGGTCAGGGAAGGGCTCTCTGAGAATGTGACGTTTGAGCAGACCCTGAATGAAGTGAGGGAGCAAGCCATGTGGGTATATGGAGGCAGAGAGTTCCAAGGATGTAGCAAATGCAAAAGCCTGGAGGTGGGAATATGCACCAGAAATGCATGGAGGCCAGCGTGGCTGGCACAGCGTGAGGGGAAGGCGTGCCAACTTGTGCCCACAGCACAGTGAACGCTTGTGACTACGTGCTCCTCCCCTGTACCTGCAGTTCCACTCCAGCTGAATTGTGTGCTTTGTGGGTCCTTTGTGTTTTTTCCCTAAACCTGTGTAAGGCACTTCTGCTTGCTGTTGATACTATATTATTTAATAAGATAGTATGGAAAACGATGAAATATGAGCACACAAAAAAGAGGGTGACTCTTGCTATGAAAACTAAGTTGAAAATCAGAAATACTTGTTGAATATGAGTACTAAGACATACTGCTATTTAGTTCATTATGAGCAAGACAGTGATAAAAGCCTGGGCTCAAAATCCCTCGAAATATAAAAGGACTCGGTACTCAGATTGTTCTACAGGTGTTCCACTTTAAAGAAACCCAAACTGGAAATCTTAGATCATACGTTATGTGTGTGGTTGGTTTATGTAAGAACATGATGCTCTATGCCACTGAATACATCCATCACCGAAGGCAAGGCCTTGGCCCTACATTATTATACAATCGTTTCCGCATTCCAGGAAATCACAAGTTGTCCCAGGACTATCTTCTAAATGACTTTCAACCTCCCTTCCCCCTTTTCTTTACTGCCAACTCTGTGGTTCAGGCCACTCTGACTGCTTGCTTAGAATACTGCAGGGTTCTCCTCACCAGTCTCTGCCTTCAATCCCCTCATGGTCCGTGCCACTTAGCACACTTCTGCAACAGTAAATGTGATCGTGTTACTTTTCGGTAAAATTAAGAGGAATTCTAAACCCCCACCTTTAAGTCTCAGCTTAGAAGGCACTTGTCTTAGGAAGCCTTCCCCGAACACCTGCCCCTGTAATGGGTTAGACATGCCCCGCAGCCCTGCCGCTGCATCACTCTCACTCGCAAGACCTCCAGCGCTTCCCTGTCAGCGTTCACCTGCCCCTGGGTGTTGTAGGGCCATTATCCTCTGTGTAACCCCTGACTGTGAGCCCTGGAAGGGCAGTGACTAGGTCTCTCACTGGCTTAGCGTAGGAACTGAGTAAATATTTGTTGACTGACTGAATGAATGAAGATCCCATTAGAACCCTTTTTTTCTGCCATCAGATCATCAGTCACTGTCCTCCATCTATAGGAGTTTGGAGTTTGCACCTTAAAAGTGACCTCAGGAGGGAACAGGCATTCTCGTGCATCATGAGTGGGAATGCCACATGGTGTACCTCTAATAGCGGGGAATTCGGCAATATGTAGCAAAATGAGAACCCTCTGATCCAACTGTCACAGTAATGATTCTATGAGCCTATCCCAAAGACAGACTGGCAAAAAGATGCAAAGATATATGAGGTACTTTTTTGTAGCACTACTCACAATAGCAGAAGACTGGAAACAGCCTCAAAATCCACATACTCTTAGGGAGCTTGGAATACTCTTACGGGACATTCATGCAGTGGAGGGCCATAAAAGCAATGTAGAGGTTCAATGATAATGCTGCGGATCCAGCTCAGTGTGTATTACCAAGTGAAAATTGCAGGGTGTGGAAGAGGGCATATAATACATTACATCTTAAGTACCAGGAATAGAATTGTGTGTGTGTGTGCGCGCGCGTGCGCACACACTGCTTTAAGAAAGAACAATGTAAAGGTAAACCAAAATATTTATGCATGGGGGAGAGAGAATAGGGAGAGGAAGGGACAAGGATGGAAGGTCTTGTTTTGTTGTTTTCACTTTAGAAGCATGTAAAGGTTTATTAATTGTAAAACTTAAAAAGAAGGATAAGTAAACGTTGCCGTGAGGGAAGGACCTGTTGGCTGCAGCAGTGCTCATGTTCCTGGTTAATTTGAAGTTGTGGGTCCTCTTTTTACCAGGACAGGGACGGGAAGGCGGGCAGGACACACAGAGCGGTAGCTCCGTTTATATCGCTGGACTCATGCCTGCCAGGGTCAGGGCGCAGCAGCAGGCCAGAAACCTCTGTTGATCTCCTCTTGCCTCTCAATGCCGGTCACATCTCTCTGACCACTGGCCACCAAGCTGAATCAGAGCTCAGGCCGAGTAGTCAGTGAGCCCATTAAAACCTGCCTCCACATTTCTCCTTAATTTTCTTTTGCCGTAGCTCCATCTTGCCATCTCTCATGCAGTGGTTTCCCCCTGAACATCCTGAGCTTCTTTCCAGGCCTTCCCCGCCCCTGCCCCCGCCCGGGCCCTCATTCCATTTCTAAACAGCTGCATCCCTCATATCCTTTTCAGTCCTACCTTAACCCCTGCCCCATGACTCCTCTCAAAACCATTACACCACCCCAAATCTCAAATTTGCCTTTAGAGAATCAGAAGTTAGGTTCTCACTGGGCTTGTGAAGCCGAAGGTCCTTTTTGCAGCACTTGACTAATAAGCAATGCAGAGAGCTTGGCAGTGACGGAGCGCTGGATTTCTCAGGCAGGGGCCTTTGGAACAGATGTGGGGCCCATGCCAGCGCTGCCTCAGTGACAATGAAATGGATTTTCAACATGAACAAATGGGACATTATCATCTGTCACATTTAGCGTGTTTGTAGCTGGTTAGGGGCACGGGGAGGAGAGCGGGCAGGGGTGTAACAGCTGCAGAGAGAAGATTACAGGAAGTTTGGAAATTTTGAATATTACCATTTTGTTTCTGCTTTCCAGATGCTCGGTCAGGCAGCTCGAAATATGGTACTGCAGGAAGATGCCATCTTGCACTCAGAAGATGTAAGAAATCATTTCTTTTATGATTTGGGTTTATATACATAGTTTATGTGGCTACAGGAAGTGAAATGTTCTACTTTTTTTTCAATGCAGAGTTTGAGGAAAATGGCAATAATAACAACACATCTTCAATACCAGTGAGTATGCCCTCTCTGCTGACTACTTGCTACAAGATCTTTGTCCTTGGGCTGCTAAGTGTTGCCTTGATGCTTCTGCTCATTTTCCTGTGGAGGCAGGAGTTGGGAGGACAGGTGGGGTTCAAGGGTGAGTCCCCTCTGGAAAAGATGTCCAAGGTTGCAGACGGTGGGGCGAAGGTGAGATCAGGAGCGGGGGCCGCCTTTTGTGACCCTTTCTGTGTTGGTATGAGGGCATCTCAGAGGAAGAGACTGTAAGCCCCATGAGGGCAGGGCGCACGCCAGGCCATGCTAGCGCCGTGCTTGCACCCAGGAGGCACTTAATCCGTATTTGTTGATTGTCTGTGCTTGAGCTTTCTCCTGGGGAGTCAAGTGTAACTGTGACCTGCGTCCTACTTTCCCAAAGGTGGCCCAGCCCTCCCTTCGTGTAAGTCAGCCAGGAGATTTTGAGATGTAAAGACACCTTCTGTATTGTAATGTTGCATAAAATTATAACTCAATTAGCTTTTCATCTTATTTCATTGTTTCATATTTTATGTAGTTGATATTATATTTATGTACCTGTTGGGAAAGTATGGTTGGGAATTTAATTCTTGATATTTAAATAACTAGATGTTCATTCTTTGGGTGCATATGAATCAGTTATGTGACCATTTGACTCCACATACTCTGCAGACTGAATTTGAGTTAGGCATGTAGTTTCTTGGACCACATCCCACACTCTGTGACAGAGTATTGTTACCTCTTTAGGTTTAGAATCCATCTTTTCAGCAGCTCTGCACTCAGATCATGAACAGGTTCCATAGCACAAACCTAGGATAGGATGGACAGAAATATCGAATGTGGCATAAGCTGGAAATTTGTTCTGCCTTTATATATACCTGGTCACAAATAACTTCTAGTTCACTGAGTTTTCTTATATTTATTTTCCTCTTTCCTTTTCTGATTTAGGCAAGAAGCTATTCAGAAGAAGTAAGTAATGCCACAGCGAGGGGAGCGGGCGGCCACCCAAAGCAGGCTAGCGGGAGCTATACTGCTGGGCCCAGGATCAGCGCAGAACTGGCTGACACATGCCCTGAAATTGACATACACTGTGGGGTAGCTCATTTGGGATATAAAGAATACGGTATATTTCAAAGGCATGCACTGCTGGGAAAGGCATTCCTAAAGTTACAGGGTATAGAGACCAACCTTAAGAAAATATTTTTAGCTCTGACTGGTGTGGCTCTGTGGGTTGGGCATCTTCCAGCAAAGTGAAGGGTCACCAGTTTGGTTCCTGGATGGGGGCACGTGCCAGAGGCAACCTATCAATGTTTCTCTCCCTCCCGTTTTCCCTCCCTTCCCCTCTCTCTACAAAAAATTTTTTTGAAAGAAAACTACATTGATGATAATCATTGAGTAAATGTGCTAAAGTTATTAAACAGCCTCTTTTTAAAATTTTTTTTGAGAGAGAGAGGAGAAGGGAGGGAGAGGAACATTGATCTGTGAGAGAAACATCAGTTGGGTGCCTCTCGTAGGCCCCCAACCCAGGGACCCGGCCACAACCCAGGCGGGGCCATGATCAGGGATAGACCCAGCAAACTTTCGGTTTGAGGGAGGACATTCAACCCACTGAGCCACGCCCCTCAGGGCCAGCCTTGTTTTTTTTTTAATGGATTGACTCTATCCCTTGCAATATTGTTTACACTACTAATTTGGCTTTACAGACCTTTTTCTCTTAGTTTAAAAACTCTGGGGCCCCTAGTAGACCAATGTACATTTTGATTTAGCTTCAATGATACTTATACATTAAAGTATAAATAATTTGCAAAGAGATGTCTTTTTAAAAAATTTTTTTAAAAACCTCACCTGAGGTCATGCTTATGGATCTTAGAGAGAGGAGAAGGGAGGGGAGGTGAGAGGAAGAGAAACATTGATGTGAGAGAAAAACATCCATCTGTTACCTCTTGCACGCGCTCTGACCTGGGATGGAACCCGCAACCTAGGCATATGCCCTGACCGAGAATCAAACCTGCGATCTTTTCTCTAATTTCTAGTGTTGAGCAGTCATCGGATCTACAGGACCAGCTGAATCATCTGTTGAAATAGAATGGCTTATAAGAAGGCTTTGCCTGATACTGAGGAGGAAATATCTACCACACAATGCTGTGGGTTTGATTTTCCATTTTCTTCTCCAAAAATTAAGTTAGAAAAGGTCTGTGATGATGTACAGTTTCTCCTGAAAAGAAGCTAGGTGGTTGAATTTTGGAAGCACTTCTTGGATCAGACTAACCCATGTTCTTCTTGAATTTTTAAGTTGCTCTATTGTTTTAAGGTGCTATATTATTTTGATGTTAAAGCAAAATTAAAAGATGTCTTAGTTATTCCCAAACAACTTTAATGTGAAAAGCTATGTTGTCTAAATGTGATTCTAAAACAGACAACAGTAGTGTTTTAAATTCAGACATGGAGCTTCTGTTGTGAACATAGAATGATTAATATTCTTTCTAAAGAATTTTTTCTTTTAATCATAAGTTCAGAAGATATTTTAATTTCCTCCTCAGAATGGTGATGGGTACTTGTTTTCTTTTCTAGTAACTTGGGAGATACTTATTTTATTCATTATAGCAAATATGTAAATGAAAATTAGGCAAATTGTATCCTATCTGGCCAGCTGCAAACTCCTGCCTTGACCTGCATTCCTAGGGTTTCTTTGTTGTTGTGACTCCTGATTATGTGGCCTTGGGTTTATTTTGTAATATTGCTAGTAATCAGCAGATTCACTTGTGTGACATTGTCAAATGCCAAGGCAGTTGAATCACTGTGAGTGATTGCAGCGTAGGAGTGTGCCTTGGGGAAAACCTTATGTTTGTAGACATTTATCTATGTTCCTTGAATTCCTCTTGTTAAATGGCATTGCCATTGTATATAGTTAAGCGTGACTGTCTTTACTCTGAATTTGAAATGGGACTTTCTCCTGTTCCACTTGAGTTCTTACTTTACTAAGGGATTGGGAGAAATCTGACATAAGAAAATGAAGTTTTCACTGGAAGGAAAAGAAAATGAGAGTCCAATTTAATTCATATTATATGTCATCAAATTGACTAATCATATCAGATTGCATTTATCCTTCACTGTGCATATACATGTTGACTTAAGGTTAAAAAAAATGAGACATGAAGGAATTCACTTTTACATTTATTTTATATGCTTTTATTACAATTATTAAATATAAACAAGCTCAGTTTAACTTAAATAGAAGGATTGCAGACTTAGAGCAAATGTCATATTAAGAGTACAACATTTGAAGTATTATCTGAGGATATTACTGTCACTGTTTCTATTCAGTGTTTTTTTGGTGGCAATGCCTAGGACAGAAATTAAAAATAAGTGTAACTATAGCAATGAAGGGACAAAATTATTATTATTGTCATATGGTAGGATTATCTACTTAGAAAATCTAAGGACTGATTTTTTAAAAAAGGTCTCCAATTTAGAAAGCAAAAGTCTACAACCATCTAAATATCTAAGTACCAAAGAAATACTTAAAATGAAAAACAAATTAAAATAAAAGTATGTTCTATCATGCTGGGACAAATATGAAAAGGCAGTGATTTCTTACATTGTATTTGAAAAAGTAAGTTTCACAATCAAAATGTTAATGGTAAATGAGATTATTTAATGTAAGGATAAAATTTACATTAAATAATAAAAACCAGGAGGGAGAGGGGGGATGGGAACAGGGGAAAGTGGTGGGGGGAAGGCGGAGACCAATGTATTTGGAAAAATAAATTAATTAATTTAAAAAAAAGGTAGAGAAAAAAATTGAATCTGAAAAACCAAATAAACAGACAAGCAGAACAGAAACAGAATCGTAGATACAGAAAACATTTTTATGGTTGCCAGAGAGGGGTGGCGAGGGTCAGACAAGAAAGGTGAAGGAATTAAGAAGTCCAAATCGGTGGTTACAAAATAGTCATGGCGATGTGAAGTACAGCATAGGAAATAGAGTAGCCGAAAACATATGCATGACCCATGGACATGGACAACAGGGTGGGGATTGCCCGAGGGAGTCGGTGGGGGGGGGTGTGCGCTGGATAGAGGGCAAAAGGGGAAAAATTGGGACAACTGTAATAGCATAATCAATAAAATATAATTTAAAAAACAAACAAAAAATAATAAAAACCTAGTAGTATTGAATTTAGTCATTTTGAACACCATAATGCCAAACTGCATGAAAGAGAAGTAGCCAGAAATGTGAGAACAGACAAATATAAACATAATTTGATAGTTATTAAATATTTTATTTATTTTTTAAAGAGAGGGAAGGGAGGGAGAAAGGGAGAGAAACCTCAATCAGTTGCTGTCACACTGCGTGGGGGGCGCGGGTGCAGGGGGGCGGCTATAGGGGTGCGCCGCTGAGGGGGAGCGCTGCAGAGAGCGCAGCGCTCCCTGAAACCTGAGGGAAACCAGCTGGAGCCCGCTGAGGCGGGAGCAGGGCTCTGAAACCCGCAGAGCCCATCCCGGGGTTGTCACGGATGAGGGGGAATAAACACAAAATGTTGCAAACACTTCTCTGTTTGCCTGGAGAGCAGACGGGCACTTCCCTCCCACTAGAGAAGGCTGTGGCACATCCCCCTAGTAGGGAAGGCACTGTCGCCCTTTGTTCCATGGCTTTTATTGAAAAACTTATCAATAGTCTAGGCAACAGGAATGCATACATGCACTCGTTTCATTAGCATGTTAAGGTTCACAGAGAATAGATACCTTTAAGAAAACGAGTGACTGGAATTTACTGAATTACATGGGTCTGAGAGGAGACTAGTCTAAACAAAAGAGAATGAATACAAGGGCAAGCGCCTTAATGATAAAGGATAAGGGGTGTAAATAACGTGAAGGTCCTTCGCAGCATGAGCTGACCAGAGATATGAGGGAGGAACAGAGCTCACTGTATAAAGAATTTACTTTTAGGCCTGATTACCCTGGCAACCGCCAGATCTGATTTAGGGCTGTTTTTCCTGCACTGTTAGCCAGGCAGGAACCACCAAGGGATAAGGAGACTGCTTCTCGGCTGTAATGAGGACTCTGGCTGTGTCCAAGCCAAGCCGAGAGGTGCGGGGGCCTCTTTGCCCCTTCTCCGTGTCCCCCAATTTCTTATCTGCTGCCCATATCGGCCAATTCCCGTCTTAGGTTGCCCCTCCCCCGAGGGGTCTTACCCGCCCTTGGCAGGGACCATCCCAAGGCAAAGCAAAGGGGCAGGGGTTTGCCCCGGGGAAACAGGTCATGTGTCCTCAGGAGCCTGTTTCTCCAAGGCCTCCTGATTATTTCCAGCCTTGGGGCCCTCCAGGCTGTTGGCAGGGTTATAGCTCCTGAAACCAGGCCCTGCGTTTCCCAACAAGTTGCTTCTCACAGGCGCCCAGCCAGAAACCTGGCTTGCACCCCAGACATGTGCCCTGACCGGGAATTGAACCAGGAACCCTTCAGTCCATAGGCCAGCACTCAACCCAATGAACCACACCAGGTAGGGTGACAGCTTGTTTCTTATAGAAATAGACAGGTTACATAGAATTAAATGGTAATCAAACATATGGAAGCCAAAACTACTTCTTTGAATAAATCTGGGTTGTAGAGGATATGTTGGAGGGATAATATTTTTAAACTAATGAAATTTCAAATTCTATGCTATAAACTTTATGTGATGATACCAGAGCAGTTTTATAAAGAGAAAAATATGCTTTAAATCTGTGTATTAAGAGTAAGGGTAGAAATAAATGTTTCCTTTTTGTTAAGGAGTTTGTGGTTAGAATTTAGAAAGAAAACAAAAGAAATCAAAATGGAACAAGAAAACCAAGCATGAATGACAAAAATTTGAAAAGCATATGAAACCATTAATTGGTTCTTATAGGTAAAAATTGTCAGCTTAATAATTAAAGTACAAATTAATAAATTTATATTTACATTGAAAATGTATAAAAGATATCAATTAGGTTTGGAAAGAGTTACCTGTCAGCTTGATGCAAAAAATTTGATTACTGGTATCAAAATGTGTGGCTTTTAAAAGAATATAATACTACAAAACTGACATTTAAAAGAGCGTATGTCAAGATTTGTTGGAGAATTAAGCCACAAGTTGTCAAAAGTAACCAATTAGAATGTCATTTGCTTGTGATGGCTTTCCTGAGACTTTTCCATATACTGCAAAAGTATAGAGAATGATAATAAGATATCTGATTCATTTGCTGAACTAATGTGGTTTTCGTGAAAAAAAATAAAAAGGATAACATGAGAAAATTTAGGAGATTCTTAATTATGAACATAAATGCAAAAATCCTAATAAAATCTCAGAAAAATTTAGTAGAGAAATATTTTGGAGAATTGCTAAAATAATTTCAGAATTACAAAGTTGATATAGCAGCTGCAAAACACATTACATTAAAACTCAGCAAAATCATATATTACTGTAATATATACCAAAAAGGCATTTGAAAGAATTCAACTTCTATTTCTTATTAAAATTAAAAAAATTTGCCCTGGTTGGTGTGGCTCAGTGCATTGAGTGCCAGCCTCTGAACCAAAGGGTCTCTAGTTTGATTCCCAGTCAGGGCACATGCCTGAGTTATAGACCAGGTCCCCAGTGGGGCGTGCATGAGAGGCAACCACACATTGATGTTTTTCTCCCTCTCTTCCTCCCTCCTTCCCCTCTCTCTAAAAATAAATAAAATCTTTTTAAAAATAAAATTAAAAATTTTATTTGTAAAAGAGTATGTTTTAAAATCTAAGAACCAACATATAACATTTGGTGAAGGGGAAAGAATCAGAACCCTAGCATATTAGAGCAGTATGAGGCCTCAAAAATGATTAAATTTTATCCCCATGTTTCGCAGATGAAAAACCAAAGCCAGGAAGATGAAATGACTTACCTAAGGTCACTGAGCTTAAGAAGGTCTTTTAACTACTAGTTTAGCTCTCTATTTTGTAACTTTCCTTATAAATAAAAACAAGGGTTTTCTAGTATTTATTTCTAGTATTTCTATTATTTCTAGTATTTAACATTTACATAAAGGAAAGGATGTTGGAAGTGAGTGAATCCAGTCTGTCCCAGCTCTGCATCTCTGGCCAGCAGACACCTAGTTCCTGCTTGAATGCTTCCAGTCTTTGGGGAATCCTTTACTCAGGGATGTCGGCCACTTTGGAAAGCCGTACTTCCTGAATGATGTTTCTATGCACTGAACCAAATGCTGACTTTCTGAACTACCCTGTAATTGTCAGACTTGTATATCCCAAGGTGGGATGTGTGGAGGTACACACAAGGCCATCCTTGGAGGTAAAGGAAGAAACCATGAAAATTTGTAAGTATGTTTATTTTTCAACTTAAAAAAGAAAATTAGCTTTTGCTAATTTAAAATATGGCTTGATAGCAGAGCTCTAGTTTGGCCTAAAGAGAATACTGATCTACATAGTGTACCTTTCATTTAGCAGGGATGATATTAAACAACAACAACATCACCAACAACAGAAAACTATAGGTAAAACACTGACCGATCAGAATGAATGATAGCCACAAGCAGTGTGGTCCAGCAGCAGCCCTGCACACTAGATCTTGAGGGAAAACTGGGAAGGACTGAATGAATTGATAGTGATTTGCTTTATTGCAATTTATCTGTGTGCGGTTAAGTGGGTTTAAGGCTTATGAAATGATTCTTATGAATAACCACTAAGTGGAGATAATATAATAGAGCAAGCACAAGGGAACAAGTGGAAATGAGAGGGCCTTTTCCTTAATCTCCCACTAATCTGACCCTTCAGGATAATAAAGATGCCGTTTTAACAAGGAGTGAGAAAGCGGTTTTCTAAAGGAACTAATTTTATGGAGAGAGTATTTTGTAAACTAATATTTAAGAGAGTTTCATCATTATGTGATTGCCAAAAAAAAAAAGATACCTATAAAAAACACTCATTTTTTTTTACATACTTCATAGTTGGAAATTTATAAATTTTTCCATGGGTTTAATTTGTTAAGGAAATAATAATACAACACCTTCCTATTATTTAACAACTAGCTGACATTAGGGAAGATTGTTATTGGCAGACGAAATTAAAAATGAGTATCATTTGGCCCTGGCTGGGTAGCTCAGTTAGTTAGAGTGTTATCCCAATACGCAAGGATGTGGGTTTTCCCCCTGGCCAGGGCACATACAAGAATCAACCAATCAATGCATAAATAAATGGAACAACAAATTGATGTTTCTCTCTCTCGCTCCCATCAATAAATTTTTAAAATGAGTATAATTTAGGAAAGGCTATCCTAGATGTCCTTTCACTTTGAACCCTGTATCTCCTTACTCTATCAAAGGACAGATATGCTTGTTAGAACCACAAAAGGAAATAAGATACACAAATGTAAGTGTGGAAGAAAAGTAAATAAATACAACCTTCTGTAAGATGAAATGATAATACCCAGCAGACACACAAGTGAATTGATCAAAAATTACTAGAGGTTAAGAATGAATGGAGCAAAAGTTGCTTCCCCAAATAAAATTCAAAATTGATCAAGAACTGCTGCATATTGTATTGAATCCAATTCTATGACATTCTGGCAAAGGAGAGAGAACAGATCTGTGGTTTTTTCTGGGGTGAGGGGAGGTACGAACAAAAAAGGGGTTATGTACTAAACCTGGCAAGATCGAGGGGGTGGGGGTGGGGAGCACATG